AATAAACTATCCAATGGAATGAAGCCTGATAGTCTAAAAACAAAATAAGAGTCCTAGTGAGTTTAAACTTTGCAATTAATAGGACTGGTGAATTTCTTCCTTGTTAATAAACCTGTTATATAGTGGTAATTTTAACTAAATTTTTTGCTTTAACTAGATTCGAGTGAGAGATGACAAGATGCCTTTGGCGCACCTTGCGATAGCTGTTGAAGCTGTTGGTTGGTCACATCCCGATACGATCTGCCTCATGGTTGCAAATACACTGATTGGCAACTGGGATCGCTCTTTTGGAGGAGGAATGGTAAGTGACTTTAAAGTAATTTTCTATAATAAACAGAAGATTTTTAGGTTTTTCTAAATCTAAGTTCTTTATAAGAACCCCCCCCCCAATGTGGCAAAATGAAGCTTTGTACTCTGAGTTTTGACTTAAAATATGAACTGATCCTGGATTGCATATGGGCCAGAAAAAATCATTTTTTTTCTTTGCCACGAAGTTTATTAAGTGTGATAATTCGAAAAATTTGAATAAGAATGGAAGAGTTAATAGTACTATATAATTTTTAATATTCTAATTTTAAAAGTACAGTGGACCCCCTCTATCTGTTGAGTTTTACACCTATGGATTCAACCAACCACAAATGGAAAATATCTGCATTTATAATGAACATGTGCAGACTTTTTTTGGTCATTATTCCCTAAACAATACAGTACAATGACTATTTGTACAGCTTTCCATAGTGTAGTATTATACGTAATCTAGAGATGATTTAAAGCATATGGGAGGATATGCATAGCTTATATGCAAATACCACACTATGTAAGGGAGTTGAGCATTTGTGGATTTTGGTATCTAGTGGGAATCTAGGAACCAATCCCATAAAGGTGATGTAAGAAAGTTAATTTTCTTGTTTTTCAGATGTACACAACAACATAGTTAGGGGCAAAGAAGCATCATATCTATAACTGACAGTTCAAAAAACATGTAAAGACAATGATAGAGCAAACATTGTAAAATGATTACAGTTGTTAAGGGAATTTAGATAAAGAGAATTCTTTGTACTATTTTTGCAACTCTTCTATAAGTGAAATTATTTCAAAATATGGTGTATAGATTTCTGTACTCAGATTTCTTCAAAATACATTGTATTGGGCTTCACACACAATATAATTTCAAATCTTTATGCATACATAGCCAAGAGCCCTACAAATTGGGTGATAACAGTAATGTATTTTTAAGAAATAGGTACAGCAACTACACTGAGTACCAGGATTCACTGCTTCTGTACACAGTGAACTTCCCCAGGTGTTGCAGAGGGCCAGTGTAATAAGCATAATTCTTGATCTCACTGAATTTTAACTTTATTGTGATTTGCTATATAAAACTGGGCAATTTCAGGGCATTCACAGTTTTTTGCATCTCATTGTTCTTTTTGGTATTTTGGACATGTGTACTGACGATACTCTTCAACTGTTTTTTTTCTTTACAGAATTTATCTAGCAAGTTGGCCCAGCTTACTTGTCATGGCAGTCTCTGCCATAGCTTCCAGTCTTTCAATACTTCTTACACAGATACAGGATTATGGGGACTCTATATGGTTTGTGAACCAGCCACAATTGCAGACATGCTACATGTTGTTCAAAAAGAATGGTGAGAAAATAGCTTTAAGTAATTTCAATTTTGTTTAGAATTCGAATTGTAGGCTAATTTCCCCTTTATACCTTATGGTAATTTTAGCTTTTAATTAAGAGAACTAGGCTAAGCAGTAGCAATGCTCGCTGTTTTTAAGATCACAAGATACTTATGTGAAGTTGAATTACACTATGGAAAGTTTTAATGTTTCAGAAACAGGTTACTTCAGAAAGATGATCCTAAAAGTTTAAAAGCCAACTGGAAGTTGTTCAAAAAATATCTCTGAAAGTAATCTGTCTTGGAAAAGCAGTGTTACGGAGGTAAATCTGAAGTTGCCATTGCTAAAAGAAAAATCTTTTAATGAAAAACTAGTATATTAAAAGTCAGTACTGAGGCTGAATGATTCACAGCTTCTTGGAAAATTTATTTAGTTCTGGTTCCATTCTTCTACTCTTCAGTTGTTTACATCTCTAAATCTGAGATGTAATTATTAATTTATTAGGTTTAAGTTAGACTCAATTGATTATTCTGAGAAAATGAAGGACCCACAGACCTAACCCCTGGTATGCATTCAGACCCTAACAAGTGAGGATTGATGAAGTCTCAAGATGCTTATAGCTTTTCTCAAAATGTGGTCAGCCTAATTGTATTGAACTTTTGTCTGCTAATGAATAATTAGACAAATTTGTGTATATTATTTTTGGAAAACAATATGAAGATAAGTAAATCAGTATTTTAGCTTTAGTTAAGCATCGAGATTGTAATTTCAACTTTTTTTATTAAGTTAAAAACAATTAGTTGTATGTTGTGAATATATAGAATATAGCGTTATTTCTTTAAGTCATTAAACTGATAAAAAAACAACCCTTTCTAACTACTGGATGATAGTATTTTTCCAAATGCTTTTTAGGATGCGACTCTGTACAAGTGTCACTGAAAGTGAAGTTGCACGAGCCAGAAATCTTTTGAAAACAAACATGTTGTTGCAGCTTGATGGTAAGAGTAAAGACATGGTTCTGTTTTTATATGGTTGATCTATATTCCAGTATTTAGATTTTCCTTTTCTTTAAACAGGTTCAACTCCAATTTGTGAAGATATTGGTAGGCAAATGTTATGCTATAATAGAAGGATTCCTATCCCTGAGTTGGAAGCACGAATTGATGTAAGTAGTCCTTAGATACTACCAGATTGTGTGTAAAAAGATCCTTGGTTACAAAAGTAGGCTAGGCGCGGTGTCTTGTGCTGAGGTGGGAGGATCACTTGAGCTCAGGAGCATGAGATCTGCCTGAGTAAGAGCAGGACCCCATCTCTGCTAAAAATAGAAAAATTAGCTGTACATTGTGGCAAGGGCCTATAGTTCCTGTTATTCAGGAGGCTAAGGCAGAAGGAGAGCTTGAGCCCAGGAATCTGAGTTTGCTGTGAGCTAGGCTGATGCCACAGCACTCTAACCTGGAGCAATAGAACAGGACTGTCTCAAAAAACCCCCCCAAAAAAACAAAACAGGAAACTCCCCCAAAGCTTAAAACATTTTGCTTTAGTTTTTAAAAGTTCCAAGTATAGAAATAAAGTTCTGAATGATAGTATCTCCCTTATTTCAGGCTGTGAATGCTGAGATAGTTCGGGAAGTATGTACCAAATATATTTATGATAAGAGTCCAGCTATTGCTGCTGTTGGTAAGTCTAGCTCCTTTTCTTCTATGTAGAAAGTTGGCCAAGTACTTTTCATTTAATTCAGTTTTTTAACTGTCTTTTTAATCCTTAGGTCCTGTTGAGCAACTACCAGATTTTAACCAGATTTGCACTAACATGCGTTGGCTTCGTGAATAAAATGCTCCTGTATCAAAATATGTTGAACACATATATATTTATAAAACTAAGAGACTTGTACACTTTATCAATCCTTAAAGAAAAAAAAGAACATACATATCTGGAAATCTGCGCAAAATACTGTCATAAGGGTAAGACCACCACTTTGAAGGTAGTTTTATATAACGGTCGATCTTTGTGCTCTGACAAATTACATTGGAGGAAGCACACTTTCAAATTATTACCATAAGTATAATTTTAAGCATAAAAATTTGTACAGTATTTTTAGTTTTATTATAAAAATGCACACACAACAAAGATTGTCATGAAGTCATTTCTTGGCTCTACTTGCATTTAGCACTTGCTCCTGAGCAGCTTTCTTTGCCTTTACCATCTCGACAAGTTCCTAGGAAGAGAAAGGTATGATTTAAATTGAGCATTTTGGGTGAACAGGTAAAAAATTCAAATTGGATACATCTATAAACTAAGATCCTACTGACACTGTTGACATCTCTAACTGCCAGAGTTAGAAAGTTGTGTAGTAATAATGTGGCTCCATTACCACTGGTATTGAATTAAGCATGCTAATCTATATTATTAACTAGTTAATATAATCAAAACATAGTAACAAGTTATAATTTAAATGATAATGTGATCTACAAACTCCAAATCTACAACCTTATATCGTTTCATGCAGTCCTTCTTTGTCCTGCCAGGTACCGCTTCTGCTATTTTTTCCCATCTTTCAGGTGTATTTACTGGATATGTTTTCAAAGCTTGTTCCAAAAGCTTCTGTTCTTCTGTTGTCCAAGGACTGAAATCTGTGTATGGACCTGTTTGAGAGAAATTTTTACTTAAAAAGTCTCATCCTAAAAAAAATAAATTTAAAAACTCTCACCCTGATTGATAGAAGGTTGTGTTAGAACATGTTGCCAGATGCATATTGGTACACAAGTATCTGCTAAATGGCTGTTCCAACCTGAGATGTATAATTTTTTTTTTTTTTTGGTTATAGTTTGGCGGGGCTGGGCTCAAACCCACCACCATCAGTATATGGGACCATGCCCTACCCACTGAACCACAGGTGCTGCCCTGGGATGTATAATTTTGAATAAACTTCTTGGGAGGAGAAATACCAATAAACTTCTAAATGTTAATAGGAGAGAGAAAAACATAGTAGCTTACATCCCAGAAAATCAAACACTTCAAAGGCTTTTTTTTTTTTTTTGAGACAGTCTTATTGTGTTACCCTCAGTAGACTGCTATGGCATCATAGCTAACAGCAACCTCAAACTCTTGGGCTTAGGCGATTCTCTTGCCTCAGCCTCCCAAATAGCTGGGACTACAGGCGCCTATCACAACACCCGTCTATTTTTTTGTTGCAGTTGTCATGTTGTTTAGCGGGCTTGAACCTGCCAGCCTCAGTGTATGTGGCTGGTGCTGTAACCGCTGTGCTATGGGTGCCGAGCCACTTCAAGGCTTTTTAAAATTCAGTCTAATAGAAAATACCTGCCTTGTACTGCTGGTTTCTTGCAACCTAATACACTCACCAGACTTTTCTGAAGAAAGTGTATTTAAGTTATAGTACCTACCACTGGACTACTGGGCTCAAAAACACAAGTTATTTGTTTTGATAAATCCAGCTCCTTACAAGACAGGAAAAAGAGCTTCCTTATAGTTAAACTTTTTGTTGGATAGAAACCATTCTCCACAAGTGCCCAAGGTTTCAGAGCTAAAGAGGTAAGCTTGCAGCATTGTAGTGTGGCATTCTTTTTGCTGCATCTGCTAAGATCTTGTGAAGCCAATGCTAAGCACCTCTAGTACTGATAACTGCTGCTGCAGTTCTTAACTAAACCTTTTAAATTGGACACAACACAAAGCTGATCTGGTTTCTCTATGTTAATGGACTGCTCAAATTCAGTTATTTCAGACCATGCACTGAAAACACAGATCTTTATTACTAGTAGCCTGACTCTACTTGAAATTATATCCTGTTAGATGTGGTACAGTTAAGTCTGGAAACCAAAGTTATTTTCCAATTAAAGAAAAAACACCACCTATTCAAAACAAGTCAGAGAACTTGGATCGGTACTTGAAGGCAGATTAGAAGCTTTTTTGAAGGTACTTTTAAATTCTAGGAATGTTCTTAATTGAATTTCCTTATTGGTCTAAAGCCCTCCTTAATACCACAGATTTATTGCCTCTTGGAAAAAAGATGGAAGTGACAGGCAATTTTCTGCTGTTCACAATACCAGAATTAAAGGTACTACTGCAAAATTCTTAAGAGAAATCTTATGGCACTCTTCAAAAAATGGTGCCAGCTTCCTGTTTGAGGATACAGTTGAAGAGGGAGGCGCCAGCCCTTTACGACCAAGTATAACATCACTGCTGATGACTCCTGCCCCTGCAGGGTCACCCACTTCTCACAGAAGAGACTGGTAAAAAAAACATGAGGATCTGCTTCAAGAGTTGAGAAGATGGTACTAATACCTGAATATTGTATGGTATTTTGTGAGGAAGATAAAAGAGCAGGCCAATAAACCCCTTTAAAAGTGCCCTTCAGGTATTCTGAAGCTTCACTTTGTTACTTATCTTTATCTAAAGAGCCAAAATAATGTCTCAGACAAGTCACTCCTGATTTTTACAACCACAGAGATTGACTTTTAAAATTAAAATTTAGGGATGATACACTACATTTAAGAATACAGGTAAAATACAGGTAAACAGTAGAACAGCTTACACAGTCAAGTCTCTTAGTTAATCCAAAAGCATTTTTCTTTTTTCTTTTTTTTTTTGAGACAGAGCCTCAAGCTATCCCCCTGGGTAGAGTGCAGTGACATCAAAGCTCACAGCAACCTCCAACTCCTGGGCTCAAGCAAGTCTCCTGCCTCCACGTCCCAAGTAGCTGGGACCACAGGCGCCCGCCACAACACCCGGCTATTTTTGTTTTTGGTTGTAGCCATGATTGTTGTTTGGAGGGCCCGGGCTGGATTCGAACCTGCCACCTTACGTGTATGTGGCTGGCACCTTAGCCACTTGAGCCACAGGTGCCGAGCCAATCCAAAAGCATTTTTCAAAGGCAAGTAAAAGGAAAGCAAGGATTAGTGGCTCACAAATGCATGAACATACTTCCCAAAGCAAACTTCTCAAACCATTTTTATCATAACAAGAAAAAAATAACTTACATCGCATCCTAAAACACACATAACATGAACACATGATTAAGTTTCACAAGTTAATACCATGCTGATAGGTATCTAGTCAAGACCCACTATGATTTTATGACCCAAATATGGGTCATGATTTGTAGTTTGAAAAACATGGGCCACAGTAATCAGCTAGAATACCTGACAATATTAGTACACTAATAGTTTTAAACCATTCAATTTTGAAGTAATTTCAAGAGCAGAAAGAATCCCTGTATACTCAGGATCTCCAAATGTAAAAATGTAAACATTATTACTATATTTGGTGCTTTTTTTTGATAAAAGTCTCAGTCTGTCACCCTGGGTAGATTGCTTGGGCATCATAGCTCATAGTAACCTCAAACTCTCAGCGATCCTCCTGGTTAGCTGGGACTACGGGCACCTGCCATAATGCCTAGATCCTACTTTTTTAGTAGAGATGGGGTCTCGCTCTTGCTCAGGCTGGTCTTAAACGAACTCAAGCAATCCACTTGTCTCAGACTTCCAGAAGATTACAGGCATGAGCTACTGTGCCTGCCCCCTGTATTTGCTTTTCTTTCTCCCTCTATGTAGACATACTTTGTTCTATTACATGAGAAAAAACTGCAGCCAAGATGTCTCTTTACTCCTAGATACTTCAGTATGTTTTTTCTTAAAAATAAAAGACATTTCCTGGCTGGGTGGTAGCACTCTGGGAGGCTGAGGTGGGTGGATTGCTTGGGTTCACGGGTTCCAGAGCAGCCAGAACCAGAGCCAGACCCTGTCCTTACTAAACCCGGCCCCCAAACAAAAAACTGAGGCAAGAGAACTGCTTGAGCTCAAAGAGTTGGAGGTTGCTGGGAGCTATGATATCATCATAGCACTCTACCCACGCGACAGTTTGAGACACTTTTTAATTACATTTGTCAAAATCAGGAAATTACCCTTGATAAAATACTATTATTTCTTCATTTGCCCCATTAATATCCTCTGATTTATAAAATGTGGCAAACAAAACAAACGCAGCTCTTCCCCTCAATGGCATCTAAAGGGGAGAACTGCAATTCTCAGTTATAATGGTTAGTGGGAGGGAATCTATGACTGTCCTGAAAATGCTTGCTTTATATCTTTCTGCCTGCTAAACATTTCACTTTCCAATCTCTCTAAACATAGATCCTAGTCTTGTATATCTTCAAATAGCCTGGGTGCACGGCTAGCATTTTCTACTTCTAGAAAAAAATTAATTACCTTCAAACCGTTCTGAAGGTGTGGCATTGTCTGCTTGAGGTACCACTCCATGTTCTTTTTTAAATTTATCAAATGCCTTTTTATTTATGTCATCTTTTTGATGAGGATCTGAGAAATGAAAAATTTCAAATACATCTCATTTAGTCTTTCATTAAATTGCATAAATTATTTTAAAAATGTACATTCAGAGTAACAAACTGATTTCTCAAAACTGCTACTCACCAAGTTTTTGGAGACTCTTTGCTTTGCTGATAACATCTTTGGCTGTTCTTTTGATTCCAGAAGAAGAATGTATGTTCATGTAATTAGCAATTACTTCCCATCTACAGCAACCAATATAATAGTTTAATATTAAGGAAAAGCAAAACAAAAAACATAAACCATTACCTATTTAATACAGAAGGGTTAGTTATACTATCTGCAGAATGAGCCCTAAAGAAATCAGAGGTATAATTTACTGTTCTAAATTACTATGGTGTCAGGGGTGTCCAACCTTTTTTCTTCTTTGGTATATATTGGAAGAAGAGTTGTCTTGGGCCACACGTTAAATACGCTAATGAAAGCTAATGAGCAGGAAAAAAAAAGATCCACACATAATTTTCATGATATCCAACACTGAAGATAAGCAACATAGTCCTCACAGAATCCAAATGTGCCTGGGCTGCAGGTCAAATACTCCTGTCCCTAGACTATAGTTTTTGCTTTTCACAAGTTGAAATCAACAATATACAATCTTAGTTTTAGGTTTGCACAAATCGACAGAAATAAAACCAC